TCCTAATGGACTGATAAAAAAACAGCTTTTTCCTCGCGTTGTACGTACCCAGTCGCTCACATCGACAGAATAATATAACAATAAAAACAACTGAATAATTGAATGCTAAAGGTGCGTCTCAACACGCCATCACGTGATTAGTCATGGAAAGTGTTACGACGGAGCGTGCCTGCTTTCTGCTTTATGTATGCACATTGACTGTGATACTTGATTCAGTTGGAATTACCGTGGCTGGTGGACATTTGCATTTCAGTAATCACTGAAATTAAAGAACCTTGTAACACCTTGAAGCTCAGAACAACTGTTGTTAAGTCTAGTGTGAATACAATACTGGAAGAACTGAAATGCGTATGAACAGAACTAGATGCAATCATATATAAAACAAAAATTTAAATTTATTCGCCAACCTATTTTGTCAAAATATATGCTTCGTCTTTAAAAAGAACTATTGAATTTTTTTTGTTAGAAGCAGCTTTCTTTGTAAAAGTTCTCAGGTTTTCAAATATCCGAAGAGTGACTACAACAGGCAGTGTGCCTGAGTATTTTGCTTAATGCCAAAGCGGTCAATCCTGTGCAAACTTGATCTAACCGTATGGGTCCATTTATTTTTCTCGAACAAAGTAAAATGGAGTTAGTCCAATTTTGTTCCTCTTGATTAACAGAACTGCTGTTCGAGTGTGCATCCTTCCGTTTGATAGTCGTGGTTCGTATCTCTTTCATGGTGAATCGAACTATTGTTACAAATAAACAGAATGAGTCTTCAGTATTGCTTTTCTCCTAAGATCAATATGTACATTGGCTGCGGTATTCCGGGTTGAGACCGTGTAGTCTTGCATGCGGTCACCGACGCATTGCCTACATTTCAAGATAAAGGCGATATATTGCTGCGAAATATTTGCTCTCACGTAAAAGACCATGCGGTGTCAGCCCTGAAGACCACAATAATGCAAACTTTACCTTTTTCAGGCAGATACGCACATTTTTTTCTAAACAAAATAATCACAATAATATGCAGAGACCTTAAAGCTTCATTGTTCTCAGGCGTCGGCACTGTAAAGAGTTCAGTGATTAGCATGCTGCTTCCGGTCATTTTGTCGCTCCTAAGAATACTTCCGAGAAACAAACAGGTGACTAGATAAACATTAAAGCAATTTTCAAAACTCATTTATCACTAATTGAGTCCGGGACTTGTACGCCATACAAAATTGATACCACGATTACACGTTTAGTCCAAAAAGAATTGTTTGCGTCAGATTTACAGGATAAAATATGTTAATTTATATTTAATTGCTTATATGGGTTTGTTATTTACCACTCTATCTAGCATAATTCTAACAAAATTATGACGTGGCTGTTCTGTTTAATGGCGTTTATTTCTGCACTTGTCCAACTACTATTATTCCCTGCGAGAGAAAACCTTACAGGCTGGGCTCATTACAACTGATCCTAAAAGCCTAGCTGACGCCGGATGTAGTAAATAAAACACTATTTTTTCCGGCTTTTACTTAATGTTTCTAAAGTAGGTGATTTCTGTTCCGCAGATATGAATCCGTTTACTGTTCTTATAATGTTATATATCAAAATCGTTCAGTGCAGCGATAATGTTTCCCAGCCTGTATTTTTGTAGCGCTGTGAATGAGCACGCTGATCTTTATAAACTGTCAGCATTTTCCTCTCTGATCTCTTTTAATCGTCTTCCTGCAAACAGCGCACGCCACAGCGGTCCTATTAAAACACTTGAATATGAAAGAAGATGGTTATGTTCTAGGTCGTTGCGCCGTGTAGTCTGGTAGAAGTCTACAAATGCTTCAGAAGTCCTTGCCGCCTCCTTCATCAGGGCAATGCAATGATCTCTCAAACTTCTACCAGACTGCAAGGTGCAACGACCAAGAAGACAGCCATCTTCATTAATCTTGGATGTTTACTGTTGCCTTTTTTTACTATAGATCTGCACTTTGTGCTTCCTGGATTTTATCTGAGAACTAAAGGAAATTGGAGTACTTTTCAGTAACAATGTAGGTCATACACATAACACATGTAACACAAATGGCTGAATTAGTATTTGGCTCATAAATACGCGGAGTACAGAATATGCATTGTGCATCACTTAATGTCTGAAAGTAATTTTTTTATCGTCGTCTATGGTCAGCTTGACCATCGTGACCCCTTTTGGGGTTGAAAGTAATTACCTCTGTTAGAAGGAAAGTGTTTCACGTGGAAAAACTGTCGGGCATTTAGAATTCTGTTATAAGCAGGTCATACTGTACTTTTTCTGCATTCAAGATTGTAAAAAAGAATAATTTAACAGTGTTGGTTGATGACTTTAAGGTTTTCTTAACAACAGACTAAATAGCCCATTTTCTGAGGAAAAAGGTATATGGTACCTAAAAGCTAAAATAATTATAAGAAAAGAACATTCAAAATAAAAACTCACAGCATTCCAAGCATTAGTGCAATCCTAGTTGATAATCATCCTGACTGTTTCCATCTTCTTCTTCATCCCTGTTGCTCTCTGATTTCTCCACCTCTGAATCTCTTTCCTGTAGTTTCTTCGTCCTCTTAGACTAAATGACAGAGATTTCCAACACTTTCATCCTGCTAATAGTGTCACTAAAAGTGATGACAGCATTTAGAATACGTTTTCAGAACACTGAATCTCTTACATCCCCACAGGCACAATTTACTGTCTCTGTTGCTGTTCTAATAGGAAACTCAACTATCTGGCACAAACTGTCTTTTGTAAACTTTGTGTGTGAAATTCTGAGAGTGTAGAAGCTGAATGCATTGCTGAAAAAAGAAGTTTGTGCAGCTTTCATTCCTTTTCATATGCATCTGAAATCATATACAATCCTTTGCATTTGCTTCATACAGTCTATAGTCACCTGTTCATCCTGCGCAGGTTATATTATGGTACACACCGCACAAAACTACTTTCGTCACCAGATTCTTGACCCAGAACTTCAAAAATGTCACGCAATTGATATATCACATGTCAGTTGGAGAGGATCCCTGTTGTTTGGCTTATTTTGCATTTTTCACTACCAAAACTATTACTTCGATGCACCCGCGTGTTCTGACTTCAGATGTTTATCTCA